GGCTCACCGCAACCTCCGCCTCCTGGGTTCAGGCAATTCACCTGCCTCAGCCTCCTGAGTAGCTGGGATTACAGGCACGCGCCACCATGCCCAGCTAATTTTTTTTTGTATTTTTAGTAGAGAGGGGTTTCACCATGTTGACCAGGATGGTCTCGATCTCGACCTCGTGATCCACCCGCCTCGGCCTCCCAAAGTGCTAGGATTACAGGCTTGAGCCACCGCACCTGGCCCTCATTACTTTTTTCTAAGTTACTTTTCCATCTTCCCCTCATTTGATGGGATAGGACCAGGATGGCAGGAAGAGTGCTTATAATACTTCTTGTTTCTGCCAACTTTCCTTGTCCATGAATTTCTAGCCAAGCAGAATTAAACATTTTAAAAGTTATTTCATCAGTTATTTTGTTTAACATAACGTTTTCTGAATCGTCTCTTCTTTCATTCTTTTCATGAATGTTTAGTCTAATTGGTGGTCTTCTGAGCTATTTTTTTTTTTTTTTTTTTTTTGAGACAGAGTCTCACTCTGTTGCCCAGGCTGGAGTGCAGTGGTGCGTTCTCAGCCCATTGCAACCTCCACCTCCTAGGATCAAGCGATTCTCCTGTCTTAGCCTCCTGAATAGCTGGGATTATAGGCACACACCCACAACACCTTGCTTGTTTTTGTATTTAGTAGAGACACAGTTTCTCCATGTTGGCCAGGCTGGTCTTGAACTCCTGACCTCAGGTGATCCACCTGCCTCAGCCTACCAAAGTGCTGGGATTACAAGCATAAGCCACTGCACCCAGCCCTCTGAGCTATTCTTTATCATCTTTGGACATGTTTCATTTTGTGGTTTGTGATTTAAAAGCTTTTGGGTTTGGACATATTAGTTTTAAACACTGTCTCAGTTCTTCAAATAACAACCAATTTATAGAATGACATTTTTAAAAATGCCGGCTCCTTCTCTGGTAGGTAGTGCCAATCTGAGAAATGTCAGTAGTCATAAAATAGAATAATTTAATGTATTATTTGGCATTTTATTGCTGGTCTTTGTTAATTCTATTGTGGCACTTGGATTTAGATACTTAATTTTAATTTTCTTTCTTTTTTTGTTTTGAGATGGAGTTTTGCTCTTATTGCCCAGGCTGGGGTGCAATGGCACTATCTCGGCTCACCATAATCTCTGCCTCCCGGGTTTAAGTGATTCTCCTGCCTCAACCTCCCAAGTAGCTGGGATTACAGGCATGCACCACCACACCTGGCTAATTTTGTATTTCTAGTAGAGACGGGGTTTCTCCATGTTGGTCAGGCTGGTCTCGAACTTCCGACCTCAGGTGATCTGCTCGCCTCAGCCTCCCAGTGCTGGGATTACAGGCATGAACCATCGCACCCAGCCCAATTTTCTTTCTTTATGTGGTAGTCATTATTGATATAATATTATAACTTTGAAGAAACTAAATTCATTCTCATAAAGAGACTTACTTTTACTTTTGGGCAGGTTGAAGACAACTTTGTGCTGGAAAGTGAGAGAGAAAAATTTGTAGAAGAATTGAGAGCTATTGTAGGTCAAGCCCAGGAGATCCTTCATATCCACTTTGCCACAGAAAGAGCCATTGGAGTTGACTCTATTACTGTGGACTCCAACAGTAACCAGGTGAGAACAATTGTTTAGCAAATAGATCTTTTCAGATATGAATCAGGAACTTTTTAATTTATCTATTCATTTTTAATTCAGACAGGGTCATCTGAACAAGTACAGATAAATTCTGCATCTACTCAAACCAGCAGTAAGTATATTTAGTAAAATCTACCATTTGGTTGTTGAAGCAAGACATTTGAAAACTTCAACACACCTTCATTGGGAAAGATGTTAGCCAATAAATTAATTTGGTAACTTATTAGTGTAGGTTTTCTCACACTTTCAAAGGCCCAGAGGTAATAATCCATCCCCTGACTTTTCCCCAAGTGTTGGTTCTTTATTTGATTGATCTGTTTTTGAGTTGTTGGATCTTGTTACTAGAAAAGCAGTCACAGTACTGATGACCTTAAATGGCATAACTGGTAAGTTATTTTTTTCTGATTTGAGATAAATAGAAACTTTTTAACAAAAGTCATCATGTTCTAAGTTTGCCTCATGTTTCAATAGTTATTCATATCTTGATTTTATTCCAGTAACGATGAATGATGGGCTTCTACCCACACTGGTCACTGATAACTTATTGTAAATCAGATACCGGATAAACTTCCAAAAACCAAAACTAGGGTCTTCTGTTTTCTTTTCTGATGACTTTATCTCTCTATTCCTCAGTTCTGGTCATGGGTATATTAAAGAGTGTCTGGGAGGGGGAGAAGAGCCATAGACAAATGAGGACCTCTGAAGAAATTATAGCAACATAAAAAAGCAAAAGGTGGTATGGAAGTAATAGAAGCAGATACCATTATCCTGAAATGTAGTTTGACTGTGTTAGGATGCAGAGTCCTCCTATATCTTATTTTTCTGGTTATCCAAGGTCCAAGTAGGTTTCTGACTAACAAAGTTGGGTAAAGTTTAAAAGAGAATTACTTATTTGAGTAAGTTTACCAAGTAGCAGTTAAGATGTAGGGGTTTATTTTACTTTATTTTAAAAATTGTCATACAGTAAAACTAACTCCTTTTTCTTTGGTGTATACTCTTGTAAATTTTAATACATGTGTAGATGTATGTAAGCACTGTCATAATTAGGATGCAGAATAGGAGATACAGGTTTTAATGGGAAAAGTGCTGTCAATTTTTTCAAACAGTACACTGTTTCTAATTGCTATTGATGCAGTGTTTGTTTCAGTAGAATCTAAAATCCTTCTCTAAAGATATTGTGTGCTTAGCGCTTTAGACTTTTTGTCGGTATTGGGAGGGCTGGTCTTACAAATTACATATGTTTTAGTACTATTAGAAATGGAGATACAAGAGAAATTATTTTTTTAACCTGCCTTCAGTTAGTAAGGTAAATAAATTGAAAATTCCTTAGTATATTATTTTTTGCTAATTATTTCTGCAGATGAATCTGCTCCTCAGTCATCCCCAGTTGGTCGGTGGCGATTCTGTATCAATCAAACGATAAGAAACCGTGAGGCTCAGTCTCCTCCTTCTCTTCAGCATTCCATGTCTACGATTCCTGGCCTACATCCACTTCCTAGTAAGCTTTTCTTCTCTGCCAGCTTTGTCCACATTCAAAGGATGGGATGCAAAATACATATGATATCTTTAACTGGTTTCCATGGGAATTTTATGCTTATGAGAATTTTCATAAGCATTTTTGAAGACATTAATATTAGGATACAGCTTAAGCCAGTTCCTGTTTAATATTTATGGGAAAAAAGGAAAACACTTTTTTCCTTGACAGGATGAATTCTGTGTGTTTTGACTCTTATTTACAAGAGTACTTTCACACAGGTTCTCATTTGCCGCTTTCTCCTATTCCTTTTGACTTGGGGCACTAGTCTATGCTTTGTACTCATCAGTATTTGCTTAGCCATTCTTTATTATTGTTCCAGGTCCAAAAAAAACAAGTAATAAGGAAATATCACGGGATACACTGCTCACTATAGAAAATAATCCATGCCACCGTGCACTCTTCACCTCCAAATCAGAACACAAGGATGTGGTTGATGGTAAGATTTCTGAGTGTGCTAGTGTAGAAACCAAGCAGCCAGCTATACTTTATCAAGTGGAAGATAACAGGCAGATAATGGCACCAGTTACTAGTAGTTCCACTTATTCTACTACTTCAGTTCGTGCAGTTCCAGCTGAATGTGAGGGACTCACCAAACAAGCGAGCGTATTCATACCTGTGTATCCACGTCACCAAACTGCCAGTCAGGCTGATGCACTTATGTCCCATCCTGGCGAATCAACTCAGATTGCTGGTAACTCTGTTACGACTCTGGCATTTGATCAAAAGCCCCAGACCTTATCAGTACAGCAGCCAGCTATGGATTCAGAGGTTATTTCCCAAGAAGGAGAAACTACAGTGAACACTGAAACAAGCTCTCCTAAGACAGTCATTCCCACTCAGACCCCTGGCCTTGAACCAGCTACCCTTCAACCCACTACTGTCCAGGAATCAGATGGAGAAAGACCTCCGAAACTGGAGTTTGCAGATAACCGAATTAAAACTCTGGATGAAAAATTAAGAAACTTGCTCTATCAGGAGCACAGCATCTCTAGCATCTATCCCGAGAGTCAGAAGGATACCCAAAGCATAGATTCTCCATTTTCTTCCTCTGCTGAAGATACCCTCTCCTGTCCAGTGACAGAAGTCATAGCCATCAGTCACTGTGGAATTCAAGATAGCCCTGTACAGTCCCCTAATTTCCAACAGCCAGGCTCTAAGATTCTGTCCAATGTGGCTGCAAGTCAGCCTGCTAATATATCAGTGTTCAAAAGGGACCTGAATGTGATAACTTCTGTACCCAGCGAATTGTGTTTACACGTAAGTATCATTCTTTCTAACCAGTTCCTTACTCTTTGCTTATTGTTTTAAAGAAATGCCTTCTCTTCTAAAATTCTGTCCTTTGAAATGAAATGGTCTATGTCACAAGATTCTGAGGTCACAGGTATTTAAGAAGACCATGACTTAGGCTGCAGGTGTTCAGAACCTCTCGTAGAGATGACAAACTATCTTTGGTAAGAGAGCCCTCTCGTGAATTAGCTAAGAACTTGCAAACAGTGTCTATA